TGTGAAGCAACCCATGGTTATTTCTTCTTCTTTTTTTTTTTCTCGTAAAAGAAATACAACTATTATAATCCGCCTAGCAATAGTGTAGCACTCAAATATTTATAGGGTTTCTAGATATCCTGTCATGTCTAAAAAAATAAATAGAAATAAAATATCTCTTGCGAGTAGGATTCGAACTACATAAAAAATAATAAATCCATACTACCAACAAAGCTACTTTAGTAGTTCCTAAACAAGGTAAATATCCTCAATAATGCATAAAATATCATAATTACCAAAAATCCTTAACATAATATCCCAAAACCTATTGCACTGATAAGAACAAGAAACTAATTATACATAAACTAACTATATGGGCAGTGTCACATTATTTTCTTACAACAATTTATAACTAACAATACACAACAAGAAACGTACGCTTTTCCTTTCAAAAGAAGATTATAATAGTAATAACCTCACAAGGAGTTCAAATAAGTGAATCAAATATTTAATAAATTAAATTTCAAATCCTATTAAGTTTTATTCTTACAATAAAAAAGAGGAGAGATTAAAGGATTTACTCGGCAAACAGTACGTCCAGAAGCTAAATGAACAGCTTCAATCCCTTCCTTTTGATGAGCAACAACAACATTAGGTACCCACCAGAGCTGAGTGTAATTTGTTATGGTTGGAATATACTGTGCTGGCTGTATCAACAAATAAAATCGGTGATCAACCATTACTCATAAACTACCCACAATAAAATTTCATGATCATTACTCAAACACTTATAAGCATGGTACTTAAGAAATGAAGTACTCAGTCAGCTGCACTAACAAATTTTCAAGCATTTCTCAAGTAAGCTGTCCACAACCAAGTTGGTGATCATTACTCAAAACACTCATAAGCATGGTACTTAAAGAAATACAAAATGGGAAACCATTTGGTTAGCAATGGTTTTAGAGACTTTAGACACTTTCCAATGAAAATTTTAAACTTTTACTCCAATGGAAATTTGCATGCTTTTCTTTTTTTTTTCTCTCCCATGTGAAAACGCCAGGAGATGACCACTCAGGCTCAAGGCTCCGGTCCTTTGCAGAGTATTCAAGATACACGAAGATAAACTTTTATGCAATATGCTAAGAATTATGCACTGAAGAGAACAATAAGCTGTGGTTGGGAAGTGGTATGAGACATGTAACAGAAAGCAGAAATGTAAGATTATTAGCATAACTTTGAAAAAAGTATTTGTCATAGAAAGCAGAAAGAAACTGAGGGATCTGCACAAATGCTAGACTATAAAGATGAGAAAGTAGGTGAAGAAACGACATAAAAACATAAGATGCCATATATTGTCCAGATAATCCAGGTGCCAATCAGGTGGAAAACTGCTTAACAGCTTGGCTATCATTATTATCAAATCTTCTGGAAAAGCATGCAAGTAGTAACGTCTTTAACCTTGTTATATTTTGCTGAACCCGCATATTTTGCTGCTTTCCCAATCAAGTTCGAAATTTTTTTGGTTGAGTCCTTCCCTGGAGGATGGTTGTCTTCAGGCTTGTGAAAAGGGTAGTTTGAACTCTTTCCAGCCATTTTTTTCACTGCTTTCCTTTTGTGCCGCCTAAAATGTGCAAGCTTCAATACAGTATCCTCTCTCCTGTCCTGATAATTAGATACCATAGCTAAATAAATCCAGTTAAAGCAAATGGCATAGAAATCATGTATTTTGCTACACTTACCCAGTGATGTGGCATAACTCCAAGGATTGATTCCCTAAACTCCCTGCATTCAAACTGAAGTATAGAATTGTCTTAGGAAACTTATTTTTAGGAAAGATCCCATCACTCCATAAAAATATGTTTAAAAGCATATGATTAAAATGTAACAAGTAATAAAAACCCATCTATGTAAAGTTATGAAAACTTACGATCCTTTCAAGTATATGACAGAAAATAGCATCTTAAAAAGGGAGGAGGGGAGTGGTCGGTGGAAGAGATCAAGATATGATATTTGAAAAACAAGAACACAAAGCAGTAGAGAAGGATTGAGATATGACCTGTTCACTCAGGAGAATATTACATTAATAAGTCCATCTCAATATAACAAAGAGAATAACAGAGCTTCTTGAATGGCCTTAAAGCATACCTCTCCAGGGTGACGACTATTCAAAGCGTGCACATCGAGCTTGTAGTTATGCTGGGGAATTAACTGGGCAGAATCTGATTGCTTGGCCTCAATGTTCTAGACCAACAAATTATATTAAATCTGATCAGAATGGTAATGCCATCTTGCTAAAGACCTCACTAACACAGAATGTGTCATAACTCAAAAGGGAAAGACCACTATGTGTATCAAATTGCATTATGGAAAGTTATTGAAAAAAGCACATTAAAAAATGGGGAAAATAGATTACCTCATTCTTTCTGCTCCATCTAAGTACACCAGTTCGACCAGCAAATGCATAAAATGCAAAATGACGCAAATTCATACCTCCAGAGTTCTCAGAAGCCTACATCAGCATTAAGCAGAAGTTAGAAATATAAGAATCATGAAGGGTAAAGACAAACATGGCTGCAACTTATCATTCAGTACAACAATTTTAAAAGAGTATGAATGGGAAAAATAAGAAGAAGAAGAAGAAGAAGAAGAAGACGACAGTGTAAACATGCAGAGTGAAGAAAAAAGTAAGAAACGAAGAGGAAGAGAGAAGTAAATTTATAATTTACAAAGACAGATACAATTACAAACTTTCCACCCAATGAAAGACAATTTGACAGATATATAACTCATGCAAACCAGTAATTTAGGTTAGGCTTACATGCAGAAGTTGAAAGAGCTCACATGAGATAGCAACCAGAACAAGTTTCACTATTAAACAACAGTACCTTGAAGATTTATATAAATTCTTTTCAGTGAGACCAAACAAGCCTAGTTACAGCATGTTTATACCTCCTTTTCATTGGCACTTCTCCTATGCTGCTCAGCACTTCGTTCTGCCATCCCAATTTCTTCAAAAGGATCCATGTAAACCTAAGATGGAAATAGATGTACTTGTAAGCACAACAAAGAGGAACAATATCAGAAATTTTAATTAGTTTTTTTATGCAAAGAGGGAAAATAGAGAGAAATTTCAATTAGCTCTGTTATGGAATCTAAAAGAAATAGTTAATCACAGGAAGTATATGCTTCAAAGAAATGCTGTTTCTACCAACCTGCAAATGTTAAAGACCAAATTCGTATTTTCTTATAAAAATATACAAATATAAATGATTAAGAATTAGTCAATTAGTACACGGGATTTGTTAAGAAAATAAATGAACAATACGATTCATTTCAGTCTAACATGTTGCTGTCACGAATCACATGCCTAATTTACTACTAATTGAGCAACAAACACATAATTGACATCCTTCAAAGCAACCATCAAATCAGGTGTGCTGGCCATTTCATACAAGCATCTTGCTGTTCCGTCATTCCTATGCTTCCTCATTTCTTAATTACCATTCTCCAGAACAGGACATGTAACAAGATCTTAGATTCTTATGCCTGCAGTTACCATCAAAATTTTGTTTGCTTCACTGTGAATAGTCTGAAAAATAGATGCATCATGTAACTCCATAACACAAATTGGCAACATCACAAGTATTCATATAAATGATGGTACTAAATTCCAACCAAACCCAAGTGAGAAATCCTGAAACATACATGTGGCTGAATCTCCATCCTCCCACCAACAATGATCAATCCCGAATCCCCATGCTTCAAGGTGTAATTGCTTATTGAGATTGCAATCTCCCTATGGTGAGCATTATGTGGAAAATCCTCCTGTTGAAAATAATAATCCATAAGGAAATCTGAAAGAAGAGTAAAGGATTGTAAAACCAACAGAAAAAATATCATCCAAACGAAGACCGAACACAACTTTATGGCGCACTGACCTGCAAATTTGTTTCCCATAGCTTTTTAAGGTTGTGATCAAAGCACATAACAGACCAACCAGAGGTAACAACAACCAGAACCTGCTTCTGAGGTTGTCCCTGCTTATAGACTCGATCAATAACACCTGTAGCCATGGCCACAGGACGTCTCCCAGAAGCAACACGGATCTTATCAGGCAACAGGGTCACCTCCGCAAGCACACGTGCTTCACTGAATCCTTCGTCCACGCGCCTACTGTGAGGCTCCAGTACCTAACATATTAAGCACCAATAAACATACAACTAGAAAAATCACAATGCAAATGAAGAAGGAAGCATAATCCATCAGCTAGCAAAGCTTGATATTCCCAATAACATTCTACAATTCAATGATATAAAATTTGCAACAAGCAGAACTGTAATGACAGAGCATAATAGCATCGTACAACCAGACGGCATAGATTCTAAAACCGAAATGAGAAAACGAGAAGTATGAATAACGGACCTGAATTTTAGCATCGTGAGTAGCAACCAGGACTTCCTTCTTTCCGTCACCGTTCAGATCAGCGACGAGAGCCGGTGGGAGACGATCACCTTCGTATTTAATTGGGTACTCATCGGACAAATGGAACCACGCCTCCCGAAATGAAAAATCACCTTCGTGCTGAAGAAAAAATTAACCAAAACTAATATAAAAACGCAATAGAACAATTAACACGAAGTTTGACGCGAGTGCAGAAATGAATATATAAAGTTTGACACGAAATGCTACGAGAAGCAAACCAATTCAAGAGAAATTAAAATTCTAGGGTTTACTGATGGATTTATGGCATGCAAAGCTGTGAAAGTGACGAGAATTCGAGAGAACGAAACCTGAAGAGAGAAGAAAATAGCGAAAGCAGAGAGCATGAGAATGGCTAAATCTCGCTTCCTCATGTTGAAGTTCGCCTTTCTCGCGCTTTCCGACTAAGAGTTTATTGATCAATTGCTGGCTCGCATCAGATTAAGTACTGCCAGTGATCTCCGCAGTCGGCGATGAAAGAGAGAAGCTAGAGGAGAGTACCAGTTACGAGGGCTCGAGCGCTTGAGACTACTGCTGTATTAGGACTGGGGAGCCAGTCGAGGAACGACTTCGATGCTGCCTGATCCAATGTTTTCTTTTTGTTTTTGTTTTTTTTTTTTCTTTCTAAATTACAGTTTTAACTTGAAAAATGTTAAAACTAATTTTCTAAAAATTACCATTTATTTTTCGAAAAATAATATTTTTCATCCTTATTTCTTACTGAAAAAATTTAACACTTTAAAATTTCTAAAAATGAAAAATATGTATATTTATGAGAATTTAACAGTTTTTCTTAAAGCTAATTTTCTTTTAATTAAAACATGGTTTAAATTATTAGTCTGTAGACATTTTGAATTTTTAACGTATTTTTTTTCTTCTTTTACTAGAAAAAAAAAAAGAGTACAAACTTGAAAATCAAATTATAAATTGACGATCATGCAGAATTTAAATTTTAATTTTATTATGTTGATTTAAATCCTTATTATTAAATTATTTTAATTTTTTCATCTCATTAAATTGTTTGATTAAGTATAATTTGACCATTTATCTACGACTAGTATTCGTAGGAAACCGTAAATCTTAAAAACCCAATTAACTTTTTTTATGCATGTATATAGTTTTTATGCATATATTACATAAATGTGTCTTTGTGTATTCGTATATGTATATCTCTAAAGGAAAATAGTAAAAGAAAACAACCTAATCATGATTGAGATTAATGTAAAAATAGTAAAAGATGAAAATCTTAAAATAATAAAGAAATATTTTAATTAATTCCTATAAAATTTCTTTTATAACTGTGCGTCTGCTTATACAGCTATATACATATAAGTAACTACATATAAATATAGATTAGAAAATGTTCCTATATATTATATATACTAGAAAATGAAACTATACAAAACACATGACCGCGCACCAAAATTACTCAATACTTCTTTTCTCTCTCTTTTTTTTTTCTCTTATCAAACTTTTAGATTTCCAAATTTTGCCAAAAAGAGACATTTAGCTGAAATAGGTGAGAACCTGACCCAACCAGCTATACATATCATCAATTCTTGCGAGGCATTTCTGCAAGACCCAAACCAGAGATTGAACAAAGATCATCAAGGTAGGTATTTCTGAAGGCTGTGTTCTACAGAACCTTTCTAGTTTGTTGCTTCATCAGCCTCTCCATCTCCCTCTTTTTCATGTGCGCAGCAAGCTGCGCACACTTCCTTTTGGCTTCCTCCAATTCATTTTCCAATTTCTCTATCTATTTCATTACAATAGTTAAAAAGAAAAAAAAAAAAAAAAAAAAAGATTCAGTCATCAAATTATTAGTAGTTGAAGACTCCTACTTGTCCGAATAAGTTAAACTTACCGTATGTTTCAACTCAGCCTCCTTCTGCACATTTTCCTCACACCTGTTAAGGTAGACAAGAATCTAAGAAAGTGTTCATTGGCAAAATAGATAAGCTAAGTAGAATTTAAACAATTTAGTCCTAAATTAAGGTAAGCACCTTCACTACCATTACATTACATTGCTTCATTTCCTATTTCCTTTGTTAAATTCCCAGTTCTAATTCTTATACTAGTCTTGCACATATAGTTACAATATAGTTTGTCATTTTAGTTAATATTATTCCCAATTTGAATTTCTTGGCAGTAGTAGTTCAATTATCAATTTGGAAGGTCAGAGTTCAATTCTCACAGTCAACTCATTTAATGAGAGATGGTAACTCAAACACCAAAAAATTATATTTTAGTTATACATATTAAAACTAATATAGGAACCAAAAATTGACCAACCAAACACAACCTTAGATCTATTAAACACAAATCTAACGAACTTTTTTTATAATTATCTAAGTATAAGCAGAACCAAGTTACAGTCTATCAGTAACTAACCAAGTTATCTTAGAACCTATCTATTATACAGACAATCTTCAAATGGAAAAAAATTGGGAATGAGAGAAAGAGACCAATTGCTGCCTGTTGGGTAAGAAACCAGTTTAACTTAACATTTTGCAGATTATTGGAACAAGACATGCGAACCTTCCATTCAAAATGATAACAATAGAACCCAAATTTAATTATGCACCCAACATGGAAGTGGTTGATATACAAACTGTCTAATTTGTATGTAGTATACGTACCTCATGAAAAGGTTGATGTTCTCTTCACATATCTGTTCAACCGATAAGGGCACTGGATCTTCTTCAGATGTGACTTCATTAAGAAAGACCTGCAACAAAGTGGTGCTCAGCAACAAAGTGAGTCGAATAGCTTAGTCAGTAACTAAATCATTATTCAGCATTGCTGGGAAAAGGAAAAGCCTGCCAGAATAAAAGCCAAGAACCATAGACATCACACATATAGAAATAAATGAAAAAAGAAAAAGCTCCAATTAGACATCTGCGCTTGTCAACGGTATCGAAGAGATGTCTCTTCCCCAACCACCCCCAAGGAAAAAGAATTTTTATATGATAGTAATAAAGAAGTAGAGTTCACCCAGCACTTACAGGTTCAAGTGTGATACTGGGAGGAAAAGCAGTTAAACTATTTCCAGCATGCTCATTTCTTAATTTTTGTGTTAGATTTGATGGAAGGCCAACAATAGGTCGATTAAAATGCACTTCTTCTTGGATGACAGCACAACTAGTATTCTGTTGGTTGGGCTGCGGCTTATGCCCAACATGAGATTGAGCAGGCAGACCTTTTTGTGTATTTTGTGCACTGGAACCCAGTGGCTGATATCCAACCAAGTGACAATGGTCCTTCCTGTGTTGTCCAGAAAATTTATCACGTTAAAACAAGGGCACATTCTAAAGACACAAATCTTTAACAGGATATGTAAGGTCACTCACTCCACAGAAAAGGGCTGAAATAATGAGATGAGACTTCGTATCTGATAACTCTACAGAGACTAATTGGCAAATCTCCAAAAAAACTACATTTAGCCATCTCTATGAACATGTTTATACGGATAAAACCACATTTGAGCACACAAAAAAAGATACATATATTGAATAATTGGTGACAAACAACCCGCTTCTAATTGCATTTTTTAGCTAATTCTAAAATTAATAACTATGATTCAAGTTTAAGAATGCAGACAAACCATCCTTTTATTAGATGGTTAGTACTTTAACCTCTCTATCCGAGGGTGAGTTCGAGCACTGAACTGTATGTCCCTTGTTATAGGGTAACTGATTAAGAAAAGTTCAAGAATGAAGGATGATCCCCTAGATGCACCATCCTTGAATGCCTAAATAAGTCAACATTTGTCAGACGTGAAAGAATGAAAAATAAAGTGTCTAAATTGACAGGTACTAGTTAGATATATATTCATTATGAAGCCTGTTTAGATGCAAATAGACTTTCCATGAAAATCATAGTCCTTGAGCTTCTATGATTCAGATAAGTAGCAGAGGATATGATCACAGCAAGAGAGAGAGAGAGAAGTTTAGAAAAAGGAATGTACACCAACAGACCAGTATTCCATAATCATTTGCTTCAGCCTTGATTCCAATCGGACAAAGAGTGATGACCTCTCAAAATCCTGCTTGTCATGTGCTGGTTCTATAAAATTTGCTTCAAGAACTCCTATACATGTGAAAGTAATAACTGAAGCCTGAGAAGAAGAGAAAAGAAAGAAATTGACACCGGAAATCTAGAAGAAAGAGATCATACCAACGACACCATGCCCCTTTGAAGAACCATCAGCAGTGACTTTCCAGAAAGGCTGCAACAATGCCAGCAGAATAACAAAATCAGTAGGTAGCTGCTTCACAGGTACATGACAGGAAGTACCCCCCTTAAAAAACCAGCATTAATTTTGCAACATTTGAAAATTTTAAAGTTGATTAAAGAAGTTGCTAAGGACAACAAAAAAGATTTGAATATGCATTATTTAATGATACTGGTATAACCACCATTTAACCAAACTTCGAGTATGAAACCTTCATATGCGTACCCACTAATTATGGTGAAGGCACCCAAAAATAACATCTATATATGAAAGTATAGAAAGTGATGGGACACATTTACATTTTGTCACGATAATATTAATTGTTGCATTTTGCCACCATGTGGTTCTTTCTTTGTTTTCCTCTTACAATTTAATGAAAATAAGCCATCTTTTTTTTCCCTCTAGAATACAAAACAAAAAGGAGTATCACACACAAGGCACCCGGTGAAGCTGTCCATATACAAAGATAATTTACAAGAAAGGGAGAGAATATATATATACACACACACACACACACACACACACACAATAGAGTCTTCTCCATTTGTGATAGGGTGACCTTCAGAAAATATTTAGGGTCCGAAACCAGAAATTTGTAATCCAACGAAAAGGAGAAATGAACGCCTTCAAAGGCCTTTTTGTTCCACTCTCATAAAGGTATAATGCAAAGGATTGCTGAGGGGACAATTTTGAGATACTTGGATGCTAACACACTGTCCCAGGCCCATAATTCTGCAGAAATTGCCCCACCACCAGCTGTCCATTTTAAGTTGAGAAAATCTGAGGACATTTTTATAGGAGACGAAACTTGGCGCATTGAAGCAGGTGTGCAAGAATCTCTTCAGCCGTTTTAAATGAGAGAGAGCCATTCACCAAAAATTCTGCCTCTTCAGAATATCCAAAGTAAGGAAACTACACCAAATTTCTTCCAGCATGAAAATATGTGATTCTAGAGGAAGTCTTTAGTGATAATTTTGTTTCTCATCCATTTTAAGCCAAATGAAAGTAAAAAAAATTATATAATTATGTTTACATAGCGAAGTGGCTTAAGATAGACAAAATATATATTTCTTCTGAATATAGATATTTACATCTAATCTTGAAGGACCAATGGAGCAAAGCACAAGAGGCAGAGTTTTACACCAAGAAAAAAAATCGGATAGTATTAATATAGATAGATAACACCACTTATTTAAAAATAAATAAATAGATAACACCACCGAAAAGTGTTGTTTACATGGTATAAAATGAAATAAGGTCAATAAGATAATTACCCAGACAGACCTTAATAAGGCGATTTTTGTGATACACATTAAATCCACAAACTGGAAGAGAAGGTGCCTCTTTTATAAATCCAATGGTAGTTTCAGCAACAACCTAACCCAAGAGAAAAAGGAAGTGCTCTTATAAGATAGCACAAACCAATGTTACCCCTAAATTGGCAAAAAATGTACCAAATGTAAACTGTTAACCTTTGAAAGCAAATTCTCTGTTGAAAAGCACAATTAGAATAAGGTAGTGTTTACCCATGAAAATAAGCTCTGGCCAAATGTATGATGGAGAGATGTTTCCCAATTGATATGTAGTCATGAAATGACCACAGGTGCAGAATAATAAGCAATGTACAAGTGAACATTTAGAATAGACATGAGGAGCCGGAGTACAACAATCCATGGGGCAGAAAAAGAACAGTGGTGGATGATAAGCATAAACCATGTTTGTGTTCATATTCCTCGTATCTTCCAAAAAATTGCCAATGAATTTTATGTATGCTAAGAAGTATCATTTTGAAGTTCCAGCAGTTCCAAACACATTAAATGCTATTCTTTAATCCTCTAATTCTAGTTCTATTTAATTCTTAAACCTTAGTTACTTGGTATGTACAATATAGTAAATTTACTAAGTTAGTACATAATTTAAACTATATTTTTGTTTAGACAGTGAAACATACCTCTTTCAATACAGCTACTTGAGGCCTGTATTTCACAGTCTGTACATATTTCAGTTCATCTGCAATATTACACTGCTGTACAGGTTTCCCCCTTAGTATAATATTGAAATTCTTGAATTTTCTGAGGTACAATATGGAAGCATATGCCTAAGGAGGCAGGAAGAAGGAACGATTAGGACTCTGTTATGAGCAAAACTAACGACAATGAACAACACAAATCAACTTTTTACCAAAAGCACAACAAAAGGACCATATAAGACGAGTTCAGGAAGTTACCCTTAATGAGTACCGTAGACAGTAAGATACATGGGA